TTTTGGGAATAAAATTAAATATTTCTGAAGGAAGGTAACAGTTGTTTATTTCAGTATATATTTTGGCCTTTTTTCATGTAGTCTGGCTTTGAGAAATGATCATTTTCTACACGGGCAGTGGTGCAGGGATTAGCACTGTTGCCTCACAGCAAACAGTTTTAATCCACCACCCGGCTGGGTCCTTTCTGTGTGGAGTTTGCATGTTCTCCTCGTGTTTGCGTGGGTTTCCCCGCTACTCTGACTCCCTCCCACTGTCCAAAGAAATGCAGTTAGTGGAATTAGGTTAACTGGTCATTCTAAATTGCCCATAGAGGTAATTCTGAGTGTGAATGGTTGTTTGTATCTATGTGTTACCCTGTGACAGACTGGCGACCTGTCCGGGGTGCACCCCCTCGTCCTGTGGTAGCTGGGAAAGGTTTTCTACATACGGCGGTGGGCGTGTCCCTCTTAAAATCTAAGCCTATGCATGTCTGAATATATTGATGGCAGATTTGGAAAATCTTTACAGTAATTCTATTTCTCAGCATTGAGTGACTCCGTACTGGTTTACCTCTATTGGATCTAAAAAATCTGTATAATTAATAAAAGTAATATTTTTGAGGGATGTTTCCTGTTCAATTAATAAACAAAAATAGTTGCTACAAAAATGTTTGATACAAAATAAATAAGTTGAATGAACATTCTCCAAATGTGGTGATTCCATAGTTTTGACATGGGTTGTAGAACTCAGTGTGATTTTACATCGTGTCCTGTAGGTGGCGCCGTTCTGTGCACGCTTGAGGCACCGAGTGTGTTTGGTGAAGACTCGATCATTCTAGCGCGTTTACGTTCCAGGAGTTTTATGGTCACGATCGTTTTTAAATACTTTAGCAATGCTGTAACTAACATATTAACATTAAATCTGTTCAATGTAAAATTCTGAATTATTTGTTTTATTAAGGTTGCAAGTGATAAAGCTCTCATCGTCCTTCTCTGTCTCAGCTTCATCCACACTTTTTTAATCTACTAAAACACTTGGCTCAATTAGGAGGAGCAGGAGGGATATGACGGTGCCTCACGCCCACTTCCCTCTCTCTCTATCGCTGTTACTCTCCAAGACTGTCCCCCCACCACCAACGAGAGGGAGAGAGAGGCCAGAAGCAGAACAAGTATTTGCTGAGATCCACAGAATGTGGAGGAAAAAGACTGCAGACCATCAGATCATTAGTGCTCTCCCATTTTCTCTCTCTCTCTTTCTCTCACACCGAGTATTCTTTCCATTTCTCTCTCCACCTTTCCTTATCATCTCCACTGCCTGTCTGCCCTCCCTCCTCTCCCTCAGTGCAGAGCTAATGTGCTGCGTTGGCCTGTTGAGAACAGTCTGCAGCACTGTGCTTCATTCTCCACTAATACGTCATGGAAACACACACACACGCATCTACAGAGCTATGCCCTCAAAATATGAAATACAATAAACCACCCAAATACACCAGACCTGATGTTCAAGCTCTCATCACAATCTGACCACCTCTACACAGGATGTGTTAAGGTTTTAGTACATGAACTGATATTTGATTGGTCGTGCAAACTAAACAAATCGGTTTCCTTTGCCTTACAGAAACCTTGGTACAGCAGGATGATTCGTTTTAAACATTCACCATCCCTGAGTCAGACTAACTGTCAGAGTCCTCTGAGCACAGGCTGAGGAGGGGGTGAAGGAGCAATCTTCCCATCCAGCTTATTAATCAACCAAAGATCCAGACTTTTAATTCATTTGAAAGCCTGATTCTTAGCCTCGTTCACCCCAGCTGGAAAACCAAAAAATAGTTTTATTTGTAGTTCTCTATCGTTCACGTAGGCCTTACTCTGAGTTTCTGTCTAATTTCTTAGATTTTGTTATCTGATTTAGTTCTCAGCTCAGATTAAATAATTATTGTGGGTGATTTTAACATCCATGTAGATGCTAAAAATGCTGCAACTGAAC